TATCGTTTAACTGCCTAGATGCTGAGTGTGTTCTCTTTTTAACATTTATAACATTCCTGTCAAGTGTGAGGACATTGTGGACTGCCGTCGTGCACGTGTGTTTTGCTAGTTGTCAGAGTGCACGCAGCCTAGATCCTCCGGGCCCAGCTGTGATCCCGCTGTTGTCCCCTCCCCCATACCATGGATGTGTTTTGTGCGCATGCGCTTGGCTTTCCGTGCTCATTTAAGTCATGGTGCCCTCTCGGTTTTTTATGTTACACAAGGAATGCACACAGACTGTAGAAAATGCAATCAAACACAGAAGAAAATTAGTACCACCTGCAATTCCTATGACTTCAGTGTCTTCATTTTGGTGTATTTTCTTCATGATTTTCTTCTTTAGTTATGTAGCTAATGTATATGACGTCCTAGATACTTATCCTGTAGCTAATAAGTATCCCAGGCACAACTAATGAATGACATAAATCCTTTCCTTGTGAAGCTTCTACTGACATCGGAAGACAGACATTAAATAATTTATAAAAATAGACTGTTGAGGCTTACTATATCTGACATACAGAAATTATGAAAATCCACAGGGTAAAACCCAATTTTGTAGTCATAAGTATTCTATTCTCAGTAAATATTTTTCAATAGCTGTTACTCCACTGTATAGATATGTGTTAATTTACTTAGTATTAAGTAAGGGTTATTTAAAAACTTTTATCTGTTTAATTAAACCAGCATCCCCACAGATAAATCTTTGTACATGACCACAATCAGTTTTTGAGGCCGTATGATTACTGACAGTAATGTTTTTAGCTTAAGCAAAGTGCCAACCGTGGAGGCTGTTTTAGCCAGCGCTGGTGGCGTCTGTGTGTAATTCCAGCACTCTTAAGAGGCTGAGTCTTGAGGATCACCAGTGAGTGCCAGCCTGGGCAACCTACTGAGACCTTGCAAAGAAAGTGTATTTTTTTGTACATTTGCCAACAGCACAAAAACATGCTCATTTCACCATGTACATTGTTGTTTGTGTCATTAAAGAAAAACTTCAAAACTGTGTTAGTTTTTGTTGATAGATTAATTTGCTGTCTTTCACTGCAAGTAAGATTCGAACCTTGTGCACAGAGACTTACTGGTTCACCCATCTTTAATGAATGCCTTGATCACATTCCTTTTCCATTTAGGGTGGGAAATGGTCATCCTTTCATTATTAGTGCAGTGGCGTAGTACAGATGTTAATAGAGAAATAGGCGAATTATAGTGAAATAGTATTTGCTTAGTCATTTATGTCTTTGTGTTGCCCCAAATCAGATACTGCTTTCACTTTTTTTTTTTTTTGTACCAGGAATTGATCTCTCAACCTCATGCATGCCAGACCAGTGCTTATGGCACCGAGCTAAATCCCCGGCACTGCTTTCGGTTTTGCCATTTTATGGACTTCTGTCCATGCAGACCATGTTTCTGTTGCCTCTCCACAATATTTTATATCCTCTTATCAAAATCTTCACATATCAAGACTCAGGCTAATTTTCGTGTGCTTATTTTTCTGCTTTTTAATGTGATAGCTATCATTTTGCATTCTGGGCTGCAGGGTGACTGTGGATTCAAAGCCATTTGTGGGCAGCTATACCTTATAGCTATTGGACCTTTGCTGGGCCATCTGGGAGCCTGTTGTGCCTTTTTATATCTCACAACAGTTCTCCATATGCATCCTTTATGTTGTTCTGAAGATAGTGGGGAAGTAAAATAGCTTTTATAATACCTACTCTTGGGATTAGCAAGCTGCCTTTTGTCTTATGGGTATAAAAGACCAAGTGCCAGTAGAGAACTGGGTAAAGAAAGAACTGGCAGGTTGGGTTGGTGAAGAAACTACCGAAGCTGTACATACATGTATCTGACATGTACTTGAGTGACAGGACCACACACAGGACTCGGGCAAGATGGGAACACACATTTATGGATTGTTGCAGAAAAACCTTCAGAAACACCCGATAAGGTACAAGATCTGAATAGAGTAATCGGGTGAGAGACAGTGAGCTACTTTACGGCAGGATTGAGAGATTGCCCTCCTGGGACAGCGTGAGAGGTCTCAGTCCAGCATTTGAACTGGTTTTTGAAGAACAAATTTTTAACATTCTGCAGAGAATTAATTTCTAAGAGCTGGCATTCATTTCAGTCATAAGGCAAGAGCCAAATGGAGTAATCATGAAGTAACAAACAGAATATCCACTTCTGTACTCCCTTGTTCTAATGCTCATAGTGGCTTGTGCCTTAACTTGATCATCCCTACCTCTCAGGTTCCATGAGAGATGATAGACTCCCATGCAGAACGGGTCATCTTCAAAATGGGCTTAGAGAACAGCAGCCAGGAAGGGATTCCAACCTGATTAGAACTTTCCTTTGTATATTCAGTCAGCTCCTGGCCTTCATTTTTCAAGTAGAAAGAAAAGAGAATTTTAAGGCTTCACAAAATGTTTCGGAAATGTCAAAATCACTAAATATGAAAAAGCCAACTGCAGAACTAAACCAGTGAGTGACAGTTAAGAACCTCCTGGTTTGAGGCAAGACAATAAGCACCCCAAATATGTTCTGCGGAGGAGGGGAGCGTTCAGTTCAGCTTTTCCAGTATGAAAGTACTGATCAGCGAAGTAAATTTATCATTCAGATTTTGAGTAGAAGGGGGCAGTAGTTTGTCTTGGTTACATTGATGCTATTCTGTATTTCAAATGTGACCAAATGCTTCCATTCATTGGTTGATTTATTTTTTGTAGAGCTGGGCTTGCTTATGCTCTACTACTGAATTACATCACCAGCCCCAATGTGTATATGTTTATAACAGATTTTGCATGGAGGTAGTGCTATTCATTCATACAAAGTCATGAGTTAGTACTATTTAATTATTTTGAACCATACAGATAAAAATAAAAGTTAATTGAACAGTGCCAATGAGAGAACAAAGCATGTTTGTAAAGGTACTTTTGTATGATAATGGAATGAGTATTTGATCTTTATTTCGCTCCAATATATTGGTTTTGTTCGAGTTACAATTATTCTCTGAGAATATCTTAAATTCCAGAAAGTACTTATCATGTGCAACTTTAGGCATTCTTTGGACTTTAATGTTAAAATGTTTTTTATTTTATGTAAATCTAGTAGTACCATGTAGCTTCCCAACCTGTTCTTATTTTGTATTCTTTACTGACATACTTGGCATGTTTAAAAGGCAGGAACAACTTACTTTACTGAAATGTTCCTCATAGTAATTGTCAGGCCACTCTTTGGAAAGGCACAAAACGTGTTCTATGCACAGCAGGCTGGGCCTGTGACTCCTGCATGGCTTACGTGTGCCCTGGGTTTGATCCCCAGCCCCAGCCTTTCCCTTAAAAGATACTTGTTAAGTGTTAACAAGGGGTCCCCTAAAGGAGAGACAGGGACTAGAACTCAACTTGCCATGAAGGGTCTTGCCTGTTATCACCCCAAGGAATTTAGGGGTGTATTAGGGAGAGGCAGAGACACAGATTTTACTCAGCAAAAGAAGTCGTACACCCTGGAAGTAGTGTGCAGGGCCTTGAGAGAGAGAAGTGCTCTGGCCTGGGGTGAGGCGGATGTAGGATTCACAGGTATTCTTTGAACTGGGTAGTCTGAGAAATCTGAGACATTTGGTCTAATCTAAGATACTTTGGTCCCTTTGAGTCATTATTTCATCTTAATTGGGTGAAGGCTGCTCCCTTAATCTTACCCATCTTCCTTAAGGGTTTTGGGGATGATAGGCCTGGAAGAAAAACTGAAGGAGCGCGTATAGGGAATACAGGAGTAGTACCGATTGTGTGTGGGCAACCTTGGGTGACTTTGTGTCCTAAAGTTACAGTTTTCCTAAATTTCAAAATTTAAGACTTCCTGTATCTCCTTTCTTCCTGTCTTTACCATTCTCTATTGTACCTGGATAATTTCAGTTTGAGTGACTGAGTGGATCCATCCAGGAAACTATTTCAGAGTTGTGGGAAGAGTGGAACAGGTCACAGGACTGGATGGGGAATTCAGTTCCGATCTGCCCCACATCCCTCATGTAGTTGAAATGTAGAGTTTGGACCGAGGGCTGGGCTCAGTGTGGAAGTGCCCATCTGGTCGTGGTGGGGTGACCATACAGGTTGGCCACTTTCTTTTCTGGAATGGGATGTCGGTCAGTGACAGCATGTCATCTGTAGTTCATTGGGGTGTTACTTTAAGCTTTGGTTTCTTTCTGTCCTTATTCAATGGGGCAAACAAGAATTCAAGGATCCCAAATGTGTTGTATTTTGAAGCAGACTTCTTTTGTATTTGGTAACTGCAAGTAGGAAATTAAATTTTGATGTATCACTAATTAATTCAACAACAGTGCTGGAATAGTATTCACCAGCTGTATTACGTGTGATATGATAGTGTAAAAAATGTTCCCCGGATGCGGTTTCTCTCCACTTTGTCTCACAGATGTTGAAGTGTAAAACTCTTTAGTGCCTGCAAACTCGAATTACTTTCTTGCTGTTGACTTCCTACTCTCAGGAGCTGTTACTGAGATTTAAAAATAATATATATTATTAGGGAACTTTAAACCATTAGTAACATTGAGATTTCCAATGACAAGCAATGGGAAAGCAAGTTATGCATATTTATTTGTATTTCTCGTAACTGTTTCTTTTGTGGTCTAAACTATATAAACAGACCAAAAAACAAATAATCTCAAGCTCTAGGAAGTCTCCAGTGTCTTGGGTCCTTCTGCTATATTGCCCTCTCTATTTCTCAGAATCTGGTTTAGGTTTGTTTCATGATTGAAATAAGTGTCTCCTGACAATATTAGCAGCTGATTCTAGTAATTGTCTGCAGGGATGCAGAGGCACTGTTTGCTTGGCTCTCTTGGCTGAGCTGTGGTGGAGATACTGCCTGTTAGGATTAAAGAGCTCTCATGAGCAGTCTTTCAAGCGGTTAGTTGTGAGAAGGAGACATTGGAATAAAATGCACCCTGCAATTTTGTTCCCTATTAGAAAGCCGAAGAGGAGGATATTGTTCTCACCCCCGATGGCACCAGGGAGTTTCTGACATTTGAAGTTCCACTTAATGACTCAGGGTCTGCTGGTCTCGGTGTCAGTGTCAAAGGGAACCGGTCCAAAGAGAACCATGCGGATTTGGGAATCTTCGTCAAGTCCATTATCAATGGAGGAGCGGCATCTAAAGTAAGCACATGTCCGTGTTATCAACTGTACCCCTACTAACAAAAATGTGTGATTTTCATCCTATTCCTGTTCTGAAAGCATACTCAGCAGATATTTCTCAGTTAGCTTCTTTTTTTAAAATTTTTAAAAATTTTTTTCCGGTACTAGGGATCGAACTCACGACGGCCTGCTCACAAGGCAGGTGCTTATGCCACTGAGCTAAATCCCCAGCCCCGTTAACTTTTTTTTTTCCCATCAGTTAGCTTCTTTACAATGCCTCATCCCTGATGAAACCACCAGGAGGAATCTCAGGGATGTATGCTTTGGGTATGGGTCCATAACTTCATCTTGTAGGACTAGTAACCCATAGTCATGCTAGTTATCGGAAGATAATCTACGCAGAGCTTTAGCACAGGTCCTGGCATCCTAAAAAGGTTAATCTTTTCCCCTCCCTCCCCTGCTTGCGGGTCACTTGTTCTGTTTATCAGGCTGGGGAAGTTTCCTGGCTGGCTGTTATTAAGGGGACAGTTCTCTGTAGCTGTCTAATCGCCTTGAGGTTTTGCAGGTCTTGGGTTGTAAATAAGCTCTGTGGGTTTTTCTGGAAGCAAGAAAGTAATCACTTTGTGTCCTTTGAATTAGTATGCTGTTTGGTAAACAGATTATGATAATGACTCGATTTACAAATGTATAAATGATTGAAATAGGCACAGGCAACAATGGCTGCTCAGATTTACTCTGTGAGTGTTCAATTGGGCATAATCCATTTGGGTCAAAGCTCCCCAATCCTCTCTTTTTGGGGCTTTTTTTTAACTAAAAGGAAAGGAATTTCTTTTATGAACAGCACTTATTTTACCTGGTTTCTTCCCAGGATGGGAGGCTGCGGGTGAACGATCAACTGATAGCAGTAAATGGAGAATCCCTGTTGGGCAAGACAAACCAAGATGCCATGGAAACCCTAAGAAGATCTATGTCCACTGAAGGAAATAAACGAGGAATGATCCAGCTCATTGTGGCAAGGAGAATAAGCAAGTGCCAAGAGGTAAAAGATAGCAAAGCCCCGAGACTCTGCACCTAAAATTATAGTAGTCTCATTTCTTCCCTAACCTTGCACCAAAAGTTTGGTTCCAGGATGTCACTGCGAAACACCTGTGTTACCTAGGCTTGCTGTGGGACCATTGTTGTCAGTGGATTGTGATTTATTTGCTTAATGACACGATTAGGGTATATCTAAGTGTATTCTAATATTCCTATTGCTGGCTCAGCAGGTAGCACTGGGTCTCCGCTAATTTTCTTCTAGAATCCAGGCCTTCCCTCCTCCTCAGCTGTCTGTGTCCGGTCAGCACTGGACGTGAGATGCATCTGTCCTGGAGAGAAAGAGCCGCTCATGCACTTGTTTATGCCAAGTGGGAGCAGTCTGACTTCTTCTGTGTCGTTCTCGGGTCACTGCCGAAGCCCCATTCCCTCCTCCAGCCTCCTTTTTCTCCTCCTGGGCTTGCTCTGGAGTCACTCTCTTCCCTGGTGACTGCTTTTACAGAATTCTATGCCCTGGGTTGCATGCTTGGCTCTAAATCAGAGCTATAGCTAGGAGAACGCTGGCCTAGCATGCATGAGGCCCTGGGTTTGATTCCCTCATACTGAGAAGAAGTTCATGGGATTAGGAGCAAGTAGAAGACCATGGTGCCCCTCTGGAAGGGTGCAATCATTAAATTTTCTAAGTGGATGAAAACAGAGAGCATTTGAAAATGAAAAATAAGTGACACATAGATAGATTGGTAATAAATATTGGAATCCTGAAAATCTACATTCTAAGACTTTGTTATAAAAATAAGTCAGGCTGCAGGGAAGAGCTTGCTGACTAATGCAATTTTGTTGCTTCTGTTAATGCCCAGGCCCCCCACATTTTAAAATCAAAGAAGATAAAATTAATAGCAGATATATTGTTTGTATTCTTAATTTTAAATGTCATCTAATATATAAAGTCATGTGGTGACCACTCATCGGAGCCCATAACACCTCACATTGTGCAGAGCAAATGTACACTCACTTAGACTCAGTGGGTAGCCAATTAGAAGGGACCAATTTTGAAAGGACCATTGGTTTATGTTTATATTGCTTTACTTGCCAAAGATAGAGTGAGCCAACAACATGCTGCTTTCTACAGTGAGAGAATACTGTGCCTTCCCTCTCCCCCTGTATTGTGGATTGAGCTAGCTCCCTAGCCCTTTTTTATTTATATTTATTTATATTTTGCTAATTTTCTGGGTTGCCCAGACTAGGCTCGAACTTGACAACCCTCCTCCCTCATCCTCCTAGAGTACGGATGGTAGATACGTGCCAGCACGGCTGGCTAGAGGACAATGTAAACTTAAAGTTTCAAAAAGGGAAAGTGCAAGACAGAAATCCAGTCATACAGGATTAATACAGAAGCTAGCTAGAGCAGACTACGGGCCTGAAAATTACTCTTTCTCTCTCTTTCTGTGTGTGTGTGTGTGTGTGTGTGTGTGTGTGTGTGTGTGTCTGTCTGTCTGTCTGTCTGTCTTTTCTCTCTCTGTTTCTCTTTCCTTCCTTCTGTGTACATGGTGGTTCTAGGGATTCTGCCCACACAGGCTAGACAAGTGCTTTTTCACCCAGCTACCTCCCCAGCCCCTTGAGTAGCAGCTGGTTTTGGGTGCTGTATCATTAACTGATCTTTAAACGTAAGTCCTTCGAAATGTGAGATGCAAACTTCTTACAGTAAGTTTCCAAGGCACGTTTTTCTATATTAGATTGTTTTTCCTTGGAGAACTGAATACTCCCTATGCCAGAAGACATTATCCATCCCGACAGATGTTTGCTGAGCATTTACACTACATCGGAACATGTGTTCCATCCAGGAAGTGCAGCGTGGGGGAAAACAGATGCAGTGCCTTCCTGTCCTGGACTTGTATTTTATATTCTGTGGGGCGATAGATCATCTCCTCAATCTCTTTAAAAACAAACTAAAGTTGGTGACACCTCCTCCATGTTTTCCCTCACCGAAAACCTTGGAGGTCACAGGGGGACCTCACATGTCAGAAGTGCACTGGAGACGACGTTCTTGTCTCCTCTGCGTTGGATTATTTCTTGCTGTCCCCCACACAGCAGCAAAGCCAACCTGCAGCCGCCTGAAATGTTTTGATGAAAGCACTGCTTTTCTTCCCTGTTGCCCCATAAAAGGCATGAAATTGGAATCCCACTGAAATATGTGTGTCGCCTTTACTGCTGCTTAGGAATTCCTGTGAATGAAAATGATTTAAGGAAAAAAAACAGCTGCAGTAGACAGTAATGTACTTTAATATTCAATATTCCTCATGGTATCATTTTTGTGCATTGCTGGTTATTACTATTTCTTAGGAGAGAGTAAGCTTATAAAGCAATTATATATATATATATAAAAAATCTTACCATGAGTGCTACGCTTTCTCTGTAATACTTGTGAGAAGCCTTTTGTACTGACAGGATTTAACTCAAGAATTATGTGGAGACAGAAGAGCTCAGCACAGCTCACCATAAGGCATGAGGCATGCTTTTGCTGCTTTTGTACTTATATGACTTTAGGAAAGCCCTGTCCCTGTGTCCTGGGAGGGTACCTGTAAATTATGTCACAGTCAATGTGGACACAGGCACAGAAGTGCGCTTGAGCCCTCTCCTCGCCGGTGCTTCCGCCAGCACGCGGGCTGGTCGTTGGCTGTGTAGCAGCACTCTGTTTACACCTCTTCTTGGAGTCCAGGGCTTGCATACTTAATTTCACACTAGAGAAGATGAAGATTGGCAAAAGCGAACTTCTGTGCTTTGCCACATTGTTCCTTCCCGTGTCGGCGGGAGTGCTGCCCGTTAACTCAGTGTTTTCTTTAAACTCCTTCCAACCCTGCTGGGCTTTAGCACAGGTCCCTCTGCAGCACATGGGAGGTGCTGGCTGGAAGCTGTTTCTCAGTCTGCTTTGCGTGACCTGTCAGGAACCTTTGAGTACCATCTTTCTCTCAGAATGCATCCTCAGATGCCCTGCTTATGGTTTCTGGTCCCTGGATGCTGGCTCCTGTACTCCCCTAAGGGTTCCTTTGACTGCCTGTTCTGCCGTGTTTTTTAAGGATTCCCCTGGGCTGTTACCTTTTCCCTAGCTCATCTCCATCCCTGGTTGCCTCTTACCATCCCTGCAGTCAGTCTTCCTTGTCCTCAGGTTCTGCACTGAGGAGTCAGCCTGCTGCAGACTGAGAACATCAGTGAGGAGACGAATCGTGTCTGTGTGCAGCAGGTGCAGAGCTGTTGCTACTAGCTGATGCTGTAAACTATCCTGAATGACACCGGGTAGCAAGGCATTTACATTGTGTCGAGGATTGTAAATGGCAGAGACAACAGAGGAAATAGAGGGGTGTACACAGGCTCTGTGCAGTTGCTGTGCCACTTTATACAAGACTTCGGCACCCATGGGTCTTGCTGAAAGTGCCCCAGGAGTACAGGACTGAGGGCCAACTATATGAGGACTGTCCCTAACCCTGTTTCCAGCTCGGAAAACTCCCTACCACCAAATTCCTCCATCTGGCACTTGTGTCAGCGCCTTGGCTGTGTCATTGGCTCCTCTTTCTGGAATCCCCTCATCTTCCCACGCACGATCCAGGCTTCACCCTCATCATCCACGGCTCACTGCCACAGTGATCAGGCTTTGTTAGCACAGCAACAATTGGTTATCTACAGAGCAAATTCATCCCGTCAGTCCCTGCTGAAGTCTGCCCCGGAGCTCTCTGTCCCCAGGATGGATGTCTTCCTCATCACATGGCACCCTAGGACAAGCCTAACCTGGAATCCGGGCTCCTCCAGCTGCTTCTCTTGTCATTTCTTGGATGGAAGATGCTCTCTTCTCTAGGTCTCCTGCTAGGGTTTGTCACACTGTGTTCCAAGCTGACTCACACAGCCTTTCACTTTCGGTTCTCTCTCCTCCAAGTCTTCCCACACACCCCCATGCCTCTTCCTCTACCTAGTAGCAATCTACAGTAGTTTCCTCTTTCTTACTTTCGCTGGCATTGTTAGCTCTAAGCTGTCCAGCACCTTATCAGTCTACTGTGTTTATTACTGAGAGAAACAGACCTGAACAGCACCATTTTTCCAAAAAAAAGAGAACTTGGGCACTATTAGAGCATGAGGTTCTAGAATAATCATCAGGCAAGGTAACAAGAAGGATGTGGGCCAGCGAGTTTGGTTTTCTGTGCCTTTTGTCTTAGATTTAATGCTCTACTTTCAAACGTAGTTTGAAAACACTTTGTAGTCATTCATTGTTTCTGTTCTTTTTCAAGAAACGGAAATGGCTTATCCTTGTTTTATATTCTGCATGATGTAACTTTTCAAGAGGCAAAAAAAATTTTTTTAAGTCCTGGCATTCTTTTCCCTTGTTTCAGCTTTGGATTACACAAAAGCAAGAAGAAAAATGGGTATCACTTGCTGCAAAGGACAGATCTGTAGGAGACAAAAGGAGGGTGGGGGACAGGAATAGCTGCCTGGGTATTGCTCCTGTTATATTTATGGAGAATAACCTGTGTCTGAGAGTTATGCTGATTTTCAGTATTTAAAGGGAATTAGTATTTGTAGAAATGACTATAATTTATCATAGCTCCCAGTTATTTCATTATATCTATTAGAAGTAATTTTATAGAAATCATTGTCTCAGCTCCCCATGTGGAGCGATTTAGTCATCAAGGACTGCTTTAAAGTGAAATCTTTCTCTAGATTTAATCCTCGTGGATTTAGAAAGCTATTGTAGAGTAGGAAGGAGCCTAAGGTATCATTTATGATTCTTTTCATTGTATGTGAGAAGAATAAATTCAGAGGGGTCAAATGATTTGTTTAACTGGTGCTAGGCTGAGGAAGTTGCAGAGTAATTTTGAAGCAAGGTGCGCATCCTTTGTGCACAGGTCTGTGGATCTGACTGACTGTGATTGGCTCATTTGGGCAGTTTGTGTCCCAGTGGTGTTGGGCAGTAACATGTATGCTAAAAGTATGAGCCTTAGAATCAAATGGAGTCAGTTAAAT